GCCGTATGAGTATACGTTGCCCAGGGTGCACCACGTGGAGGTAAGTCTATCGCACACCCCAGTAACTGGAAGATAATTTAATCTTTTCTAGACTTAATCCATTAACGGTTCATTGGCTGTTGTTTGTCATCTTCAAATTTGTGTGGATTTTGAGGTATTCGCAAGTGACGATTAAAGCAGAAAAAGAACCCACAAAATTGCATTCTACCTCCTCTCCTCAATAGAGTGAACAAAAATATGTTCAACAACCTTAGGCCTCTCCCTCTTTGCTAAAAGTTTTTATTTCTTATCTAAAGGTCTCCCTGATACCACTTTACTACTCGCTTGAATGAAGTTTTTAACTATCTTACTACGGCCTATAAGTACTTATGGTGGCACCAGTGTCTATTTTCAGCTTTCCGGTCATTGAACTTTTTTAGAATTTTACTTCTTTTTAACTTTGACTTGCCTAGATGACACCTCGTTGCTTTCAACCTCCACTGGTGATACATCTGTAATGTCTACCGGAGGAACGAGGCGACGCTATACACCTGGCTTAGTGGTCCTTCCTTCTTCTCAACCTTCTATTGATCTCAAAGTTGGAGGGGGATCATCTTCCGCACTCCTGGTGAAATCCTTCCGTGAAAACAGATTGTAAGTTCATTTGGGCTATCATGGGGTCGGAGAAGAAGTCGATGTGAAGTTCTGAACTGCTTTAAACTTTTATGTACGATTTGTACTTAATTTTCCATGTAAAGAATTGATATCCATCTTTATAATTTCGTAATCAACCTGAGCTTCAATGTTTAATGAGTCCTCTTTGAGGGGTGTCTCTCTATAGCTCTCCGTATTTTCAAAATCAAGTTTGTTTTTCGTTAATTTAAATTTTGGCGAAAGTACAGATGATTGCAGATAGCGAGGTTTTATTAAAGTGCGATTTATACTCAACTATTCTTCTACTGTTTACTAAATCGCTTTGTACCACACGTTCTTTAATTATTCCTTTGCACCCTTTGTAGTTACGCTGTTCCAAAGAATTATTTGACTGTATTAAATCGATCAAAGGCAGTCGAGTTGGCCAAGCGAAATCCAAGTTTGAGAGTACCCTTTGAGAAGGCGCTCCTTTGGATCGATCGCCGGGAATTGCCTCACGTTTGGAATACGGACATTGAGACACTTCTTGGACCTCATTGGAACTCTGATTGTACGTTTCTTACTTCTATTTTTACGTAAAATCCCCAGAGGAGAGGGAAGGTAGACATTCTTGTAAGAGTGATTGGGCCTGTTGATCTGAGTCTGTTTCTATTGACCTTTTTTAAAACTGGCCTTACGTGATTGGTTGTCAGGACCAGAGCAACGAAAAGGGCTTTTGACTACTTGCTAGAATTATCACTTTATTAACTTGGCAGACTACAAAACCTTAGTTGGCGAAACTCACTTCCGATGACCGCTAAATTATCCAGGAGTATTTATTCATTTCAAATGGCAGGCATTTTGATAGTTATCGTTAGCCCTTTAGCTGACTTTAGGCTTCACAGAGGAGGAGGGGGAACATCAAAGTGACAAAAAGTCGAGAGGGGGGACAGAATAATGATTCACAGATGTAAAAGAGACAGGCAGACAGAGAGGCAGAGAAGGTGGGGTGAGTACTGGTGAGTGGTGGAATATGGCATACAGTGGGGTCATGGTAGTTTGGAGTCAGAAGTCAACTGCCGGTTAATAGAATTTTTGCCGTATACCACTTGGAGGTAAGTCTATCACACCCCCATTATCCAAGAGTAGATATTAGACTTTTTCCACCAATGGTCTGTTGGGTTGACTAATTAATAGTGTATGTGGTGGAGATGATGATTTGTTAGGGAAGTAATATTCATTCTCGAAATAACCAACGCGGGATAATAGAGCTCTAGTCGTTGTTTTAGCCTTCTCGTCGCGAGCCTCAACAGAGCCGATGAGTAAGCCCCACATGCTTGCTTTACCTTCTTGCTTGTTGACGGCTTTGAGGAGAGTGGGGGGGGGGCTTGTATTTCCACTTCAAACTTTACTCCCATAGCTAGGACAAAATTGTTTGCTCTGACTGCTTGACTACCTACTTAATTGTTTCCCACAGTGGATTGTTATTGCTGTTGGTTGTTGATACTTATTATTTGCTACGAAAAGAGCTAGCTTATTGCTCTCTGGTGTAAGTGTCACATCTCTCATCCAATCACCTCCTCCTTTTGGCACCCTAGTTAGCCGATTTATACCCCTTATTTTCTGGACTATTCATTTTTTAGTTGGCTACCATTATTTCGGTTCTTCTGATGAATTGTGTAAGTTGTGCTTCAGCTTCAATTGCCTCTTGCAAAGCTCTCGTGTTTACTTAATGTTGTTGTTCACACTTCCTTTCTGGTTCGTGAAAAGTTGGTTCTGTGTGTGTGTGTGTGTTGCAGCCCCCAGTCCTTTGGGTTTCGAGGCTTTAATTTCGTGGAATGCTTTCCACAGTGAGTGGGATTAGGTTGATGATATTGCTCACTGAATGCACAAAGATGAGCATCGAATAGACGATTGTTGATTTGTTCACTGAGGGTATTTCATCAGCGGCCATTTAAGAGTGTGGCAATAAACGACGGCTTGTATCGCTTCGAGATTTACATTTGTTATGGTGTTGTTTCTTCTTTTAGCTACTTCGGATGATAATTCCAGAGAAAATGTAAAATCTCGTGGAAAGCAAAAGAAAAAGAAGGCGACTGCCATCAGTGGTCGAAAACGGCGTCAGAGATCCGAGTCCTCATCCTTCGTCTCGGATCACACTCAATCTGATGGATCATCTTCCGATTCGGAGGAGTCTGACCCTGACTCAGAAGCCGCCAGCAAGGCGGTAGGGAATGCACCTCGAGCACTAACAAAACGAAAGCTTCAGGCTCGCTCCAAATCCGCCAAACGTGCTCGTCTTCAGAGGAAAGACCTCTCGCTCTCTTCGTTATCCTCTGCTGCTTCCCAAGCGACAGAGAGTGGAGCTGGAAACAGTGACGAGGAGGAAAATGCCAATACTTCTTCCGGTGATGAGGAAGATGAAAGCAGTGATAGCAGTGATACTGGCTCCAAAAAATTCTTTGAGCAGAGGGATATCTGGATTGCGAACTTGTATAATATAATGGATCAGAGGAGGACGCCAATCAATAAAGCCCCTAGTATTGCCAATAAGGATTTGGATTTGTACAAACTCTTCAGGGTATGTTGCAGTTGATTTTTGTGCGTGTGTATCCTTTGGTATCCTTCCTCTCCCCTCCTTACCGTGATTGTTCGCGTGTTTTTTTTTCATTTCATTTCAGAAAGTGCATAGATTGGGAGGTTTTCATCGCGTGACCACTCAAATGAAATGGCCTGCAGTTTACTCTGAAATGGATCTTCCTCCCTGCTTCTCCGCTGGACCAAAGAGCCTCCAAACAGCGTATAAAAAGTAGGCTCCTTAACTTCTAATCCGCCGTTTGTTGGCTTGCTTTTCTTTAATTCGTCCTTTCCAATTGGGTGCGATAATAGATTTAAATTGGGCGCATTTTGAACACGAAGTGAATCGATGGAATTGGTGATTTTTTAGAATGAATTTGAGTTGATTTGATTGGAGCAGATTAGCTAAGCTCTTCTTAACTCTAGCACTGCCTGGTGCTTATTGTCAGATCAATGTCATGCAGCCTCTTCCATATCCACCTGCTCTAATGGAATTTGTAATCACTTTTGCAACCAGTTGTAATGCACCTGCCAGTCCTTCCCCACAATTTCACTAGTTTAAAATTCCATCTTCCTCTTCATCGAGAGGTCTGTGACATAACTTATGCAATTGAAGGTATTAAGTCAGTTCCAAGGTTAGGTATCAGAACAATTTGGTCTAAAAATTCCCGTCAGTTAACTAATGACTATCCTTGGGGTAGTAGGATACAAGATCCTTTTCCCATGGAGTAAACAGATAGTTTCGTAACATCATAGGTGAGGTGATTTAGAAGGATAAGGAGTAGGAGAAGTAGGAGTTGGGGAGGAAGAGGAAGCATCGGTATGGGCAAAATGAGGTTCGATTGGGTGATCGGTGAATTTTGAGCAACTGATATCTATGTGTGCCAGAGGAAGGTGTCTGGTGTGCACCCTGTTGTCTCTCTAATGAGAAGTTTGTCTTCTATCACCACTCATAGGAAGGTATTGTAGTACCTTTGCTCTGAAAGCTTCTCCATGATTAATTGGCAGACTACCCAGTGTGGTTGTTTATTGTCGTTATCATCGAAGAACGCGATCTTATAATCTCTGCATTCTTTTTCTTTAGGTACCTCCTACCCATTGAGGAAATGGAAAGAAAGTTGGGAACAGACTTACATGAAGTCCGTTTTACTCAACGTAAATCTAAGGCGGTCTCAGCTACTTCGCCTGTTGAAAAAAAGTCATCCACACCAAAAACCAGCACTTCTATAGAGAGCAAACCCTCCGTCGTCAAAGAGGAAGAAGAAGAAGTTCAGAGCAAAACCACACAACGTCGTTTGTCTGGTGCTAAGGACGAAAAAGTGGCCAAGGTAATGAAAAGTATATTCATTTATATTTTAAAAGCGTCTAAAACCTTTTTTTATGCGCTATTGTTACTTTTTTTAATTGTTTAAATGGTGGAACAGGACGTTCAATGCAATGACGAGGTCAATTACTGTTCATCAATTGATCCTTTTTCATGTGATGCTTCTAAAGACATGGAAGTATCATAGTAATTAGCGATTGTGTCGACATTCTCCGGGCAATGGCAACTCTATTCAGTAGTATTATTCTGCAATAAATGTCTCTGATATGGTTTGGTCTTCAGTTTTTTTCTCTCTGGGTCGTTAATAACATCGGGACGGCCATACTTTGTAACTGTAAACTAATCCTGTTCAGCGGAGACACATTGACTTAGTGGAAGTCTACACTCTAATCATCTCCATACACTTCAGTCAATCTAAGCTTGAGGAGCCAAGTATTTTGTTACTATTCTCCAGTGTTGACTTAGAAATGGCTGCTCATTCAGTGGATGATTAAAATATGAGGATGCATTTATCGTCGATCTTAGGGATGCCCTTGAAGGTCTATCCATCGCTAAAATTGCTTGCAGTTAAATGGGAGATTCAACTGTGTACCCTCTATGAAATCATCGGATCTGGTGTTAAATGAAGGAGTCAATTTTTTTGTGTAGAACTACTTTTCCAGAAGAGATTTCACTTCACTTTTCAAAGTGTCGACGTTCACTATCTCCAAAACCCCAAAGGGGTAGGTTTTGCAATTCTCAAGTCAATAGTGGAATCGGGAATGCTGTGAAGTTGACGGACTGCTCAATATTGGTATTTTTGGTGGTATTTGAAACTGTTTTGCCATTGCATTGTCATTTGAAAGATCTCAAATTTAAGGTGAAATCTTATTCTGGATAAGTCTCAAATTTTCGTAATCAATTCGGCATTAAACTGTTACTCTTGTCTAAAAAAGATTTTTCTTTTTTGTACTTATGTTTTGTTGATGTTTTTCGTCGTTTTTTTAATTATTGTGAATGACTATACTAAAATTCAACAAAGAACTCTTCTTTACTGCATTAATTGTGGGGGGAGGCATTGTTTGCTATATAATTAGATTATTTTACTGATAGACTAATTAGAGTGTTTATAGTGTCTATACAACATTTTGAAACACTTATTATCTGCTACAAAAAAGAATGCACTGTCGGAAAATCCTTTGGAGAAAGGTTCACAACAAAAGATTTTGTGATTTCCGTTCATATTACCTACTTATATGTTGACCTCTTTTGATTATGTTTACTTTTCGTACTTGAGTAGTGACATTGATGTGACCTATTGTTTTCAAATGAATTAAATCATGCTTTAATGCACTACCCATAAATTATTGTAATTTAAAATTTGAGTTAATTGCATTCTAGGTAGCTGAGGCTAAAAATAAGATATCAACTAATACAAGCCCATCTGCACCCAAGCCTGGTCCTTCTACTTCCACAACTGCTAAGAAGGTTGAAAAAAAGGAGAAAAAGTCTTTGCCTTTAGAACCAAGTTCCAAGAATCGTTCTGTCCGTCCATTCACGGAGTTGGCAAACAAGGCACCTTCGGAAATTGTCACTCTATCGTCTTCATCACGATTATCCAACGAAGGGGGTGGACGCAGTTCAACTGGAGGTGGATTCGAGGAGTCTGCGAGTGCTAGAAGTAGTCCAAGTCGACCGACTTTTGATGATGAGGTATATCGTAATCTCCATGCTCTTCAGGGTTCAAAATCCTGGATAGCTGTTGGGGGCTATGGCACTACCAAGATGGTAAGCATTCTGGTAGTGGGTAGGATTAATCATCGTCAAAACCCTTTTTTCTAAACTCCTCCCCCATTCCGCCCTCCTTGGCTTTTGCTACCCATTGCTTTGTGGACCTGGCTTCCCTTTTTATCCATGGCCTCTTTCTAACCCCCTCTTTGTTGTTCCACTTGTAGCCTTATCCCGTGGGTTCAGTGGTGAGTGTTTTGTTCAAGGGTCGTCCGTATTCAGCGAAGATTTTGAGCTATGATTACGGCCAGTCATTCCATAGAAAATCGAAACAGACTACGCCTACTCCACAGGAGTCGAGTGAGGCGACCTCGTCTAAGCACAAAACCGGTCAGGAAAAGTGTAGGTACTTGGTGCACTACATTGGATGGAACAACCGACACAATGAGATCATTGATGGTTCCAGAATTCTGTGAGTTGTCTGTTAATTTAAGCATTTATTTACCCCCCTCCCCTCCCGCTATATTGGTTTCATGCTTATACTTTGTCGCGTTCAAATACAGTCCAGGAAGTTGTTTGCCTCCTAAAGGGTATGTGGACGAGGCTTTCTTGCTGGTTGCTTTATTTCCAAAGCTAGCAAGCTTCTCCTTCATTATATTTGTGAGAAGTAGTATGATGTGTGTGTGTGTGTGGAAATCTTGATTCCTGCTTTCTTACTCAGCCCTAGGGGATATATGTACTGTGAATTTTCGGAATATCGTATTCAATACGCATTCATTTTAGTCATTGTAACCTTGTTAAACTGAGGATTTTCTTGGTGTCTGGAATTGGCTGTCTTAGCCATGACTACGCGTAGGCTTTCTCGTCAATATCCGTCTACTGTAAGGCAGTTTCAGACCAAGGCAACCTAACATCCTATCTCATCTTTATTGAAGTATTGGTTATGGGCATAAAGTACACTTGTGCTATGTTGCTAGCGATTATCGGTGTTGTGTTCATCTTATTTTTTTAATGAACTATTTTTTCACTTGTAGCTGCCTCCTTGACGGAGTAAGACGTTCACCCTCCTGTTCCAACCTCAATCTCACAGGTCAAGGCACCACGTCTAACATCGAGAAACCGACTTCTGATGTAGCTGAATCCGAACCCGGCGGGGAAAAGCACTTAAAGAATAAGAAGAGCTCGCTCAACTTACAGAAATTCCGCGCTAAAAATCAACCCTCCTCGTCGTCTTCTCTTCAATCCTCGACGGTGTCACAAAAGAACCGTCTGTCTGGATCAACAAAGCTTTCTGACAATGATTCGGCTAAAAATAAAAAATCCAGTAGATCTATCAGTCCTGATGTCCCTACAAAGTGTAAGCTAATTTTGAGTATAATATTCCTTGGATTTAGTAAGTATCTCGGAAAGGAAATGACTTGTCTAGATTTTGTGTTGAATGATACTGATCATATATGCAAAAAACTAGATATGCTCAAGTCGCTTTGTTTCCCAGATAGTTTATCATGAGACGTAACACTGAAGAGTCTGGTACCACAATGACAAGGGAAAATATTCTGAATATTTATATCACATGACAGGCGGCTTCAGGCTTCACAGGCCGGGAGGAACATCAAAGTGGAAAAAATGCCGAGGGGGGGGGGGGGGTTGGAGGCAACAGAAGAGTGTTTTAAAGATGTAAAAGAGACAGATACAAAGGCAGGGAAAGGTAGGATGATGTGAGTACTGTGTTAGTGGTGGAATATGACATACAGTGGGGTGATGGTAACTTGAACTCAGAAGTCAACTACCGATTTATTAGACTTTTTGCCGTATGAGTATACGTTGCCTAGGTTGCACTACTTGGAGGTATGTCTATCGCACACCCCATATTCAGAATATTTAACCAAGGAAAACACATCTAATCGTGGAGACCAATCAAATGTTCAGTAGGTCTGTGGTAAGTGGGGGGGTTGAATAAATTCGGGATGACGGAAAAGCCTTACCTAAGTTGCAATCTTCTTCTCTACAATGATAAAATATCCAAATTCAGTGCTACTTGACTTTGCTTTGAGCTTAGAGCAGCAGCTCTAAGGGTTTAACAGTGATTGTTGTTCGATAACAGAGCTTACTAGAGTTCATTCGTTCCATTGTATTACTTTAAAAGGTCACGTTCAAGTTAGAAGTCGGAGAATACGTGTTTGAATAATCTTAGCATTGTGCATTTTAAAACTACATTGTGGTATTTGTCTCACTAATAACTTATTACTCATACGACGTGAATAGTTCAGTTTTCTTTTTTTTAGCTTCTACTCCAGTCAAGAAGTCCAGTGTTACTTCAGTCGGCGATCCTCAATTCACAAGGAAGCGGAAGATTCAATCAGAGCAAAGTCCTCCTTCCTTAAACGTGGATCACGCCTCTAGTTCATTAAGATCTCCGGGCAAGTCGTCTGGGAGTATCATAGACGCGGCTACATCTCTAACCCAATCTCCAAAAACGCTTAAAAAGATTCTGAAACGTTAGTTAGACTTTAGGTTAATGGTAGTAACTTTATTTGTGGTGTTCCAGTTATGTCCTGGCCAATTTTTTTCTTGAATGATGACTTTCGCTTTTTAGGCGGGTGCAATGCGTGGTGGTAACCTAGTGAATTCCATATATGATTGATTTATCTTTGTTTTGAGAGTTTTCTTGTAATTTTATTAAAGTTGCAATAGCTTTCACCAGCAAAAGAGCTCCCTTGATGAGATAGACAAAGTTTCGCTTCTTAGCCAAAGGATCCCCAATCTTGGTGAAATGGCATTGTACGGTGATGGAAGCCAATTGAATTTCGTTGTGCAACAAAATTTTATACTTTGAGGGGCGGTAATTAAAATGCAATAATAATAATAATTAAATAAAAAAATAAAGCGCACACAACTCGGGTTCGCTAGACTGTTTAAAGGCCGAGAAATGAATCAGTCGAGGTGAGGTTAAATTTTGTGTGCAAATCAGGACATGAATTCCACATAAATGGGGTTTAAGGTCAATGTAAACACTAGCCTGCTTTTCTGCTTTTCAGGCGATCCTGTTGGCGTAAAGCCATCACAGCCCGCCTCCACCTTGGCAGCCACCTCGACACCTGTGAAAACTTCCACCCTGAGTCATTGGGAAGCGGTGAGTTCTTCTGAAGAGGAAGAACCAGTTGGAACCAAAGGGAAACATCCTCCTTCAAGTTCCTTGGGTTCCTCCTCATTATCTCATATGACAAAGAAAACGCGAGTTAGAAGTTCATCTCCCAAGACAACGAAATCTGGAACTCCTGCATCTTCAACTTCTGCGGCAAAAGCGTCATCTAAGGATTCTTCAGTTACGTCTTCTGCAAAGATGTCTGGTCTTTCCAAACTTTCTACACCTTCTGTAAGTTTAACTATTTCCTCTGGTTTAGAAAGATAAATCGGTTTATTATTTTAGTGACATTTGTTGCCTCTTTTCGTTTAGACTTCACGCCGCATTCAAGGCACTATGAAAAAGCTCACCTCTAAGCCAGAAGAGAGCACAAGTGAGGAAGAAACTCCTGAATTAAAAAAGCGAACAGTTCAGACGCAGCGTCAAGTGCCAAAGTCGGTCCCAAAGAAGGAGGAGACAGCGTCGGCGAAGAAGGATAAGGAGGAATCTGTCATTGCTAAGAGACCTGGGAAAAAACTGCTACCAAAGAAGGATGACTCTAAAAAGAGTCAGGATTCATCTGCTGCTTCTTCTGTCAGTAGTGAGGTAGATAACGAGGGCACGGTCTCAGGAGAATCTCTCTCAGAAGATGATAGTGGAAGTGAGCTCCCTTCCGCTACTCGAGACATACTACCACGTCTCACCAGATCACAGCACAAACTCATTCTTGGAGACAATCCGCCTGGAGCTAAACTTCTCACTGCCACTGCGAATCCCTCCTCTCAACCGTCGACCTCAGCTTCATCTACGCCTCTACCCGATCCTGGTCATGAAGAGGAGGAGAAAGTAAAGTCGGATGAGGAGAAACCTGATAAACCCCAGGTGGAAAAGAAGAGGGACAGTCCACCAACAAAAAAGAAACGCAGTGTGGAAGAGCCTGAGAAACCAAATTCGCCAGTCAAAATCGGAGAAGAACCGATTCGTGTGCCTTCGCCTGCTTTGTCAATAGATTCTGATAAGACCGAACCTATGATAGACGTGAGGTCACCCGACCCTGATAATGTTCCAAATGATCCACCATCGCCAAAATTGACTCCGGCCTCGTCCCTGGAAAGAGATGCACGAGATCAAGAAGTATCGATGCCTTCGGAGTCGTCGGGACAATCTTCTGAGGAAGAGGTGGCAGCTGCTGGGGACCGTAATAAAGAGGCCTCGAAATCACCTCCCCTCATTCAAAGGAGGATCACAACTGGGGCAGTTCAACGTGGAAGGGCAGCTCGTGGTGGTCGTGGTGGAGCTGCTTTGAGAAAGAGGAAGTTGTTGGCTGGTGGAATTTCAGCTGGACCTGCAACCCCTAATGTGGCCAATGCAAATGATGATGCCGAATCGGTGGGCTCTTCTGCATCATCCGGATTCAAAGTTGGACGAAGGGTATGGTCTTGTATTTATTTATAGAAAGCAGTAGTGTAAAGCTATTTGAAGCTATTTAAAAATTACTTACTTTGTAGGAAGTGGATTACCATGTGAATATTTTATTTTTACTCCATATTTTCGTGAGGCTTTCACTTTTAGATTAGGCAAGGAGTGAAGACAGTTACGAGGGTTTAGGGAGAGAGAAAATGCCATGAAAGCTGAAGTAGTGAATGCGGTGGTGAAGTGGTGGTCTTTATGGTCAAGTCCTATTTATCTTTGGTGAATATGTACGTTCACAGAAAGGCTATAGTTAATTTGGCCAATTATAAGGTTATCATAAAGTGATACAGAGTTTTAGGGTATCACCGACCATCCTACTTGGGGACACGCAATTCTTCAACACACAAATGACTAATAAATTCTATCACGATATGCTACTAATTGTTTCTCTCTTTTTTGTTTCCATCCAGATTGGTCGTGGTCGTCGTGGTGGTGGTGGTGGTGGTGGTGCAGGTTCAAATCAACCTCCACGTGGAATGTCTCCCCTGGGTTCTCCAACAGAGGGGCGGTCAATGAGACAGGCAGCTTCATCTCTTGATGTTCCACCTCCGCAACCGGAAGTCCGACGATTTGGTGGCCCCTACTTTCCAATTCCTAACGCCGATTCCATGGATCTGAGCACCTACTGCAACGTGAGTTTCGAGTTTATTTTCACGTATATCCCCACTACCGAATCAACTCGATCAACTAAGGTTGAAATAAGTTGCTAATAGGGCTCAGGCGACGGGTGCTTGTGGGTTGTAGATTTCTTTCTTCAACTCAATATCTCCACTTACCTTCAGTTGTTGGTAGGAGGACTTCTTTGTCCTTCGTGCTCTTTGGAAGCGTTCGTTTAGGTCATAGTTCCCCCCATGGCAACTGGATGCAAATTGTTGTAATGTTTGTTTCCTTATATGCGAATATTTTGGGTCTTTTTCATATTTTCTCATTTCTAAGTCGTCTAATTGCTGAACAAAGCGTTATTTCAATGCTAGAGTTTAAACAACTTGAATCATTTCGCCATGCTGAAATTTATATCAAATTTCAGGCTTTATGATAGTTATCATAGGTCTTTTAGCTGACTTGGGATCTCACAGAGAGGAGGAACGTAAAGTCACAAATTGTGAAGGGGGAGAGGGATGGAAGAGTGATTCCCAGATGTAAAATAGTCAGGAAAAAAGGTAAGGTAAGGTGAGTACTGTGGAAGTGGTTGAATATGGCATAGTGTCGGGCCTATTGTAGTTTGAAGTCAACAGTCGGTTTGTCGACTCTTTTGCCGTTTGCGTATGCGTTGCCCAGGATGCACCACATGGAGGTAAATCTATTGCACCCCCCCCCCCACTTCTGAAAGTGCTTTAGAATATATTATTTCTATTAGACCTTCGACACTTCTCATTAGATCGCAAAATCAACAAAAATAGATCTGCGTTAGGTTAATGACTTTAGGTATAGCTTAGAGCTTCTTGTTTATCAGTAAACTATTAAAACGATAGGGAAATCGGTTCATGGTCTCATTTACTCAGTGCTTCCCAACCAATAGATGATGAGCTGCGATGAATGTCTCTAAAGATCGACATTTTTCGATTGTTTTTTTAGACTCTCATGTCACGTATGGTGCAAGTGGCAAAGGCATACAAATCCGCTAATGATATGCTCAAGGCAATAGACCAGCGAATTGCCGAGGAAGCTGCAGCAAAGGCCGCGAACAATAACAACGAGACAACTGGAGACAATGCTTCCTCAAATACAGGTTCCAGTGCAGCTAGTCCTGCTGTCGGGGTCTCCAGCAGCAATATTCCTGGAGTTGGTGGACGAGGCGGTGCTACCGGTGGTCGTCGTGGGGCTGGAGGCTTTCGTGGAGGTCTGAGACGACGAAATCTGTCTGATGACTAAATTTGACTTCTCTCCTGCCCTTTGTGTGTGTATTTGGATACTTTTTTTTACTCCCTTCTCTTTGTATGTCTGTTTGTGTACATAATCGGACTTTTTGTAATGCCTTGGTAAATAGTCCATGCAAATTGCTTTCATATTTATAAGTGTCCTAATTGTCGTTTACAGCTTTTGGTAGTGAGGCAACCGGGCAATGGTTAATGCTGTTTCCGTCTGGACCTACCCAGGAGCTAGCCTACTCTGAGGTAGAGAGGGAACACCAAGTGACTTTGTCTACTCTTTCAAGTCGGGGTGCTTGAATGATATTCAAACTTCCGAAAATAGTTAGCAGGCGTACTTTGGGGTGGGTTATGAATTGGTGCTTGCCCTACAACATGATTAGTCAATTTCACCAGTTAAATTTTGTCGTAGAATTAACTGCAGGAAACCTCCTTATTGTGCGCTATCTTAATTAGCATTTGTAAGCAGGATGAAAATTTTGAATTCGTACGCCTTTCGAAGAGTTCGAGTGGCAATTGCGTTCCTCTCTCTCTCCCCTCTCTTGACGACCTTAATGATTGGACATTTTTATGATATTTCATCCACTTTGAGTGTAGGTTTCAAGATAGATGTGTGAAAATGTCAGTAGGTTCTTGATGTGTCTTGTTAATCTTGTAGCCCCCAAGAAGGTTCAAAGTTAATTTACAGAAGAAGACAACTCAAGAACGACTTGGTCTAATCTCAATTTATGTGTCACTTTAAGCGCTTTGGGTTTTATGGGTAGTAGGCTTTTTGCGATTTCCAGAGTAGATTACTTCAAGAATGTTCAGAACAGTATAACTTGGTTTTCAAATTGCATGCCTACCGAATCAAAGTCAGGGAGATCGTTGCATACCTCCGCAAGTTAATCGCCACCTGATGGTACAAAATGATCCCATCAAAATGACCCTTCCCAACAATTCCACGGATGCTAAATAGATAATTGGTGAAATAGCAAAATTTGGACAATGTATTCACAGAGAAACCTATTCGTGGCACTGTTGATCATTGACCACAACTGGAAGGTAAGAAGCATAGGAAATATCATCTTTTAGTGTGAGAGGTGTGCGATAGACTCACCTCTCCACGTGGTGCACCCTTGGCAACGTATACTCTTATGGCAAAAGTTGACCGGCAGTTGACTTCTCACTTCAAACTACCATGACCCCATTGTATGTCATATTTGACCACCTCCACAGTACTCACCTCGCCTTTTCTTCTACCTCTGTGTCTGTCTGTCTGTCTATCTCTTTTACATCTGTGAATCATTCTCTTCTATTCCCCTCTCGCCTTTTTGTGACTGATGTTCCTCCCCCCCTCTGTGAAGCCCGAAGTCATCTGAAGGGCTAATGACAAGCTATTACGAAGCCTGCAGTTTGATATAAATAAATAGGCCCAATACATTTCAAATGAGGCACTCTTCACTAATGATAACTATCACAAAGCCTGCCATTTGAAATAAAGAAATATTCAAGTTGTGTTGTCATCAATTTAGCTAGTGAACTTTGAATTTATAAGCAAACCAATGTAGTTTCCATCCTATTCAAATCAAAAACACAAATCGTTCTAACAAGGAAGATGTCTTTTCAATCAATAATCAATACTAAAGATAAGTGCTATACAAATACGTAAAAAGAGAGATCAATTCAACGACGGATTGCCATAGAAATCACAAGAGGGTAAATGATATCCCTCGGTAATCGAAGCAACTCGTACTTTGCATTTGGGATCATTAGAAGGGTTGCATGCCTTGCGGAGAGAACTGTCAGTTGAAGTCGCTTTTTAATCTCGTCGATACTCTCATCATCACCACTATCGCCGGCATTGAGATCGTCTTTGCATTCCAACAACATTTCTTGAAGGGAGTCGGAGACGGTGTCCTCCGGGTGGTCATTTTTGAAGAGAGCCGGTTTCGAAAGCACTCTGACATCAACCTCCACTTTAACCGTTGGAAGAGGTGAAATCAGGCCCCATGTCTCCGACTCTTCGGTACATCGGGTCACTGTGATTTTGCTGGAATAAACAAGTAATTTTAACAGAATTGTAATTAAAAGTACCTGACTATGAAAACGTAAAGCGATACACGCAAAAGCATACCTCTCCGGGAAAAGTGATATCCAAACCGATTTATACTTGTAAAACCTTCTATTAGGCCCAAGGCTAAATGCATTCAAGTACTTCAAGTCATTGAATAAAACTACTACCTTCCTCCAAGTAAATAAATTTCCATGTTTCATATTCCCCTACATTGCAAAAATGGCAGAACACGACCAAACATGACTCCAGATTGCAGACACCATTGACAGCCACAAATCATTTTATTAGTTGCCTCCCCCCCCCCTCAACCTAACCACTCAAATGGAAGCAGACACGAAGCTACTAGGCACAGAGAGTGAGCTAATGGAAAAGCCGAGACTGACATGCTATTGGCTAGGTCAGAACGCAAAGACGAAATTAGGAATACGCTCTCAACAATAAGCTCATTTCCCGATGAGTACCCATATCCTGCATGTGGAACCCACATTCTATTTGTCAAAAACAATCTTATACATGTGTGGGGTGTGCGATAGACTTACCTCCATGTGGTGCAGCCTGAGCAACGTATACTCATGCGACAAAAAAGTATACAAACCGGTAGTTGACTTCTGAGTTCAAGCTTTCATGACCCCCACTGTATGTCATATTCGACTACTCACAGTACTCATCTCACCTTTCATCTACCTTTGTTTTAAAGATGTAAAAGGGACAGACACACTCTTCTGTTCCCCCCTCTCGACTTTTTACGATTTGATGTTCCTCTCCCTCTGTGAAGCCTGAAGTGAAATAAGGGGCTAATGATAACTATCAAAAAGCCTGCCATTTAATATAAATAAATCCTATCCATGTGCGGCGAGGCGAGCAGAATAGTGCTCACCTCTAATTGTATAAGAACAGCTAGGCGTTAAAAGGCGCGAGGTCAAAATTAAACTAATTTACCTAAATTCAAATTAATAAGATCATTCATTCAAATTTACTTGCAAGAAAGAGATTGAAATATGAAAAAGAAACACCAAGAGAGTTAGATTTATTACTTGCTTTGATAGCTGAACACCAGATCCACACCAAAAGCATAACCCGACCACCTCCATGAACGATGCTGTTCAATGATAGCCCCAAACCTTTCGCAATTTCTCCAAAATTCATCACCAACCCCAGTTGGTGCTGTCTGGGGAGAATTCGGCTGGCGATTACCTCGAGAGTCCACTGGTCGGAGTGATTGGTCCTGTTCAAAAGGCCGATTTGGAGAGATAATATGGACACTAGGTGAGGTTGTTTGACGCCGAAGGATGTGGAGGTTGTCGCACTTCAATTGTTTTAGCCAGAGGAAGCGACAAGTTTCGTTGATCCAGGCTAGAAAAAGGACCAAATATAAACGTATCTATGGAGTGCCATATGCGTGGCACTGAAACATAACAAGTAGAAACGACTCTATTAAACAAACCAGCAAAATTACCTTTTAATAGATTTGGATGGGACATGAGATTCACAATAGCTCTAACGCTTGTAAGATTAAGTCCTCTTAAAATTGTCCTTGTTTTGCTAATTTTATTATTTGCAAGTGGAAAACTCTACTTCGCATTTTAATTAAAGGAGAAATAAACCACTTTATTAAAATGAGGAAGATAGCGAGGGTGAAAAAGAAAGAGATGAAATCGTAGTCATACTTCGAATTATGAAAGCGCTGATTTACCGAAATTCTCATAAGGCGTTGAGTGTTCTGTATCTTATTAGGCTTCTAGTAACCTATATTTGACCCTTGTAATTATATGTACAGCTTACTTAAATAATATAAGTAATAGGAGCCTTTAAAACTATGGAAATATAGTGGTGAGAGCACTTTAGTAAGTTTCTCGATTACTTAAATTCTGCAAAATTCGCCTTAAGGATATCTTACTGAAAGCATATAAAAAGAATAAGTAAATTTACCTTCAGGTATTAATTGATCAGATATGACATTCATAGTTGCGTCAAGGCTTGTAAGAATGTTTTCCCATTTAAGGAGCTTGAACACATCAGCGTAGGGCCTGCCCTCAGGTGTCTCAAAGAAATCTTTAAATAAATAGAAAATGAATTAAACTACTTTAGGTGAGAAATCCGTTGGGGGAAATATTATCAACTTGGCTTGGGGAAAGATACCGAGAAATTCATTCTGCCATTTCTCTTCACATCAAATTGTGTCACTACGGTAATATTTCAAATTCTATACTCTCTACGTACAACGTTAATTCAAGTGTAATTTGCTACTTTAAGACACCAACAGACTTCACATCTTTATTAACTGGAAATTAGATAACGTATTTAAAAAGAAAAAAAAAGCGAATATTTTGAAAGGCCTAACCAACACTTATTAGAATTAGCAAATTCGTTTTGGAAAGTGTTCCTAGAACCTGCTTTGGAAGGGGAGAGAAACCAATCCTATGAAAATCGCGAATTTTACCATCTCTCACGTTGGCCAGAATCTACTGCCCAATTAAGCAGCCATGCCATTGAATGGACACAGATGAGTATCAATCACCTGAACTCGGACTTGTCCGTCCAATCCACCGCAGGCACTTGAAGACATTGGACTTCCAAATACCGTTCTTCCGCTTCTTACCTCTGGATGAAGTCTCCTCATTGTAATACTACTGGTTAACCAAGCACAAAGTCAAACATCTAATCGCAACTGGTTAAGTTGTAAACAACCACATGGACTTTCTTATGATTCCCAAGCAGATTCAAACACGCAACTTAGGTAGTGAGTGACATCCAAGAGCCTTCTCGGTAAGAGACCCAAGTTCTCCCAGACTTAGTCAATGAGGCTGGCTGCTCCACACATCGGCTGAACGCCCATGGGAAACAAGCCAACTGGCATGGAAGTATTCCATGCTGATTAATGAACTACAACTCTTATTATCTCTAACTATCTCAGATATCTCAGGTAGTCAATCCAGGTCCTAGATGTTGTGTAAATATTGGAACTAACTTTTGTGCTGAAAGAATGCGTACACTTCTCGATGAAAATCCACAGGTGGCCAGGAATAGGAAATCTCAGGATGAAGATGCAGGTAGACCCACTGAAAAGAATGCCAGAAAAAGCATTGGTTACCATATGCATATATGTATGTTAAAATTCGGAAACTAGTTCATCGAGTACAATGGTATATAGAAGAACATGCTCAAGACGATCTAAAGACAACTATGAACTCTACTTAAAGATTGTTAGGCATTCAAATGATTCAGAATATGCAGACAGTGGTGTCTTTAAATAAACTATTCGATTGAAATAAAAAACAAAGTTAAACTCAAGGCCAAAACGTTTAATATTAGAATCCCGAGGGAGTTGAAGAGCCAACAGAAAAGTTCTTACGACGAGCAAACAAAGCTTTCCTTCACTGGCTCTTTTCACGTTCCATTTTTTAACATGAATTAACTAATAGTTCCTTATTCCTCGATCAATTTTCAATTTTTTTTCAAAAATAGACAAAAAAGTAAGTGCTCACCAATAAAAGGTCACGAAACAAATCTTGTTCGAAGTGAAGAACAATAAAATACGGGTGTTCAATGACGCTTTGCATTAAAGAAATGCTAAAAGGATAAAAAATTAATCAGAAAATTAATGGAAAAGAAATTTATACACTTACGAGAATTTTTTCTTCGCTTCAAATGATAATTTACACCAAGGAACAAGTGAAAATCTGGTAGCCAACCAAGAAACACAGATATTTTCAAGTTTAGGTAAAAGATATTTAATAGATAGATCATAAAGAGAAGAGATAGTATTAAGTTTTATAAATCTACACAAAATCCCTTCACAATAATCTCGAATTTCATCTAGTTGAAACCAAGTTGCTGCAGCTAGCACGCCTACAACGTTCTGAGAAAATGTTAGAAAAAAATAAGTTCGATTTTGTACATTTTTGGTGATTTTAACTTGGTCATTGTAGAAAGATCCGAAGATAACATGCAGTCCTTCCTCAGTTATGTTTTCATCGGTTAGTTTAAGCCTGAGAATATGCTCTTCGCTTTCTTTCCATCCACCTTCCAGCAATGCTGAGAAGTACTGAGAATGCTTCAAGAAGATGCGATGAAGATGCCACTCACGCTCCAACGCAATGATTGTAATATCACTATTCTCGCCCTTGAGAAACATCTGCTCATAAACGTAATCGTATGTAGCACGAATTCGTTTGCTAAAATAATATATTTAAAAATATAAACAAATTGCATAGAGAAAGAACTGCACTAACTATTGTTGAGTTTCGGATTTTTCGGGCAAGTTTTCATCTGCCTTTCGCTTTAAAGGCCTGGAAAATGTTGCGTAAGGCATAATGCTTCCCATTAATTGGCCTGATATAGCTAATTTCTCCGAGTAATGCCAGTTTGTATGTCGCGATCGCAGTGGTAAGAACAAAAAGAGTTGCGGAGGTCGAAAGGTTAAATGAGCAGACAAATACCTTTTGCGAGTTAAGTATGCCTGTTAATTCATTTAGAAAGCATTAAATATTTTCCATTCCCTTACATTCTAATTAAAATGTGTATATATGATATATTGTCAATATTATATTTTATAATAGCTTCACATATTATTATTGCACCCAGTTGGCAATTTTGGTGTTTGCCTTTTTTAAGAAGAATCAGGTATTGTTTGCATTACATATGGAGAAAACGGAAACCAATTAGCTAGTTCCAATTTTGCTGAAAGAATGTTTTAATCTGATTTAATTAAAAACATGTTATCATGTAATGAATCTTATTCTATTTTTCTATCCTTCCATACAATTCAATGCTAAAAATAGATTGCAAAAACCTTTTGAAATCACCTATTCTAGGGTTTTTGTTTTCCAATACGATGCACAAATGAACTCAATAATTATAATTACCGCCATATGATTTCGAATGAATAAGTAGGTATATTGCAATTAAAATCTTATTTTACTTTCGGCGTGACATCAGATATTGCTTACAATGTTACAAAAAGGTGTGGGGGCCAACGAAATTATATTCCGTGGTAAGAACAAAGGCGTGGTAAGGTACTTTTATCTCACTAAATTCAAATTTTATTTCATGAAGTTATTTCGTTCACTTCGGCTGGCCATCTCGGGGTGCCTTTTTCGCTTCGAGAGAAATGATTGTGTTGACAGAGTTCAACATGATCAAGCAGAAGTGGAAATTAAAAGCGTCTCAAAAATGAGACAAGTAAAATTCATTTTAATGTAGAGGGGTTTTCCCATTTTGGGTTATTTTTCAATGTTTTGTAAGAGTCTTTTGGTTTGCAATATCTAATATCTAGATGAAAAATATGGTCTAATATTCCATCACCTATCGCCAAGTAATAAAGAAATCCTACATGTTTTTCCTAATCATCATCCAATGCATAATTTGAAATGGCCTTCAAATTGAGCTTATTCTACAAGATTTCTAACATATTTTTATTTTCATTAATTTTTAAAAAATATATCACCATTTGCACCTATAAAGAAACAGAATCATGAAATAACATAACTGCAATCAATGATTCCTAAGAGAGTTCATTGTATTTACCCATATAATATTACTGATTATTCCGAAATAATAATAAAAAATAGATCGCTTTAGGTTAGCTAATATCCAAGCGAGCACAATTCACTCCACCGCAAAAAAAGATTCAAATAAATTTATTTAGTATGGCCGTGAGTACTTTTCGTCGATATATTATGTTAAAAAAAGTTTTATGCATTAATGTTGAATATTAAAAGTTAAAATCTTATCTGGTGACTTATTTTATAATCATAGAACAATAAGGAAGCTTTACACAATTTCGGCAGTTCTTCTTTGACGCTTTCAGCAGCAATTGAAAGCGGAGACGCTGACGCTCTTCGTGATCTGCTCAAAGCAGGAGTAAAATGACAGATTAAAGATTTTATATCTCACTATTTCGGTTCGTTAACCTGTGGTTTTCCTCCATTTCAGCGTTCTCCAGATGAGTATGAATGGGACGCTGGAACAACACCTTTAATTCAAGCTACTGAAAAGAGAAATTTGGAAGCTATGCGGATTCTATTGAAGTACAGAGCAACGATTTCTAAAAAGCATAAAGACGGTTACACCGCCATTCATGTCGCATCTGTAATTGGTTTTCTAAAAGGTCTTGAATTACTCTCAAGTTATGGTGGCGACTTAACTGAACCGGATAAGGATAATTTAACTCCTCTAGTTCTAGCTGCATCAGAGGGGCATGTCAATGTCGTTCACTACCTATTTCACATATCGCGTTCCAGCAACTCACCATGCAGTAGTTCTCCTGTAACCCCACTTGTTATAGCCGCAATCAGGGTAATTACAATTCAATGGCAACCTATAGTAATAACTAGCATTAACTCAATTCATTGATTTACTAATCTAGAACAAAATTGATGTTGTGGAATTTCTACTCCATGCTGAGGATAAAAGCGCATACAGTTTGAGTGAACTGAATCAGGCTCTCCTACAGGCTACTATTCTAGGCCACGAAGAGGTAGTTCGTGCGTTGCTTGAACATACTGCGGATCCAAATTATAAACAAGACTTGCCACCGATTCATGCTGCAATTCAAAAAGGTCATCATAATATTCTTTTGCTTTTATGCAATCATGACGCGAACTTTGAAATTCGTGATAAACGAGGTTTCACACCGCTAATGACAGCCTGTTTCGAGCGCAATCTTCCAGCTGTGAAATATCTTTTGGAAATAGGTAAAATCGAGATTACTTCTATTCTCTACCTGAGAGAGAGGATTTTCTTTAAATTAAATATATCGATATTCACTTTAGGCGCCAACGTAAAGGCATCGGCGCGCAATGGAAAATATACGCCCCTTAAAATCGCAAGAAGGGCTAAAGTTCCAGAGATTGTTCAATTGATCGAGAGCGCTCTAGAAACGAAGTTCTAAATTATCTTCGAGTTTTAAAACATTGAAATTTCAATTATTTATTCGTTGTAATCGTGGCTATAAAAGACTTTTTTCTCATTTTTATTATATATTATATATAACGTTATTTTAATTTCTTGAATCTTTGGTATTATGTAATTGAGTTGACATTTTTTGATTTGACATCATTTAAAATGGTCAGGAGTTGAATTGCAATGAAAGATTAATATGAATTTTTATTTTGCGCCGACTGTCATGGTAATAATATTGAGTGAAATGTGAGAAAGTGGATCGTCCTAGATATGATTAATGTTATCAGTCATCTATTGACTAATTGAGCTGGTGGAAACCGGATCTCCTTACGAGGGCGACTCCTCATGGCAAGAAATTGGGAATAAATCTCCTTTTGCGCAGAACCTAATGGATCAAGGTAGACGACCTACCATTGAAGAAATTGGCAATGAGGTAGGACTCACATACGAATCAGAATTTTCCATTCTCATCTAAAATCTTGGCTTAAGCAATCTCTCGGTGGGTTTCAAAAGCTTTGTGGGAACCATAACTGATCCAACTAGCTGAAATTTCTTTAGCAAATTAGGAAAAGGTGAAAGCAAATGAGGATAATTTTTAGGCAATGTGTTACCGGAGATGATCCAGAAAATAAAATTCAGTCAAAGGAGTGACATTCATAGGGAACAACTGGGCCTGTCAAATTCAAAGCTGAAATGTCCGTTAAGGTCATGACCCCTATCTTTTGGAATTCAAACGATCTATTGGATTGACTTTATAGAAGTCGAAATAAACGATCACCTCAAGTTAATTTGAAATCGTTTTGAAGAAGTTGAAGACATCCATCACTAGAAACGACCCAGGAAACTGTTCAGTCAAAATTTGATTCTTCAAGACATTATGTGCACATTCTTCAAGAGCCGCCAGAGCCCTTATGCTCGAAATTTAATGGAAGACACTTCCACATCCTCCTTATAGTCCAGACCAAGCTACTGCAGTATTTTGTGTTTGCAAAACTGAAGGAATACCTTAAAGGCTTCCGACTTACGTCTAGCGATAAAACAATAAATTATAATTCCAGAAAGAGCTCTGACTTCCAACTACCATGACCCCACTTCATGTGACTATCTTTCACTTTAAATCTGTGAATCACTCTTCTTCCCCCCCCCCTTCCCCCTCCCCCCCTCTGTGAAGTCCGGAGTCAGCTAAAGGGCTAATGATGACTATCAATATGCCTGCCATTTGAAATAAATACTTTGGATTTCATATATGTTACACTACTTTCTCTTTGAATTGGAAATTCGCTTTTCGAGTTACCACTACCAAGCAAAAACCGATGAAAATGCAGGGTATTTATTGATTTCCACTATTTTGTTTTAATGAAATTTACTCATACATCAATTCAATCATGATTTTCTGCACATTATTTCGAGTGACGCCATGACGTTATGGCATAAATTTATTTATTTATTTCAAATGGGAGGCGTTTTGATAGTTATCATTAGCCCCTTAGTTGACTTCGGGCTTCACAGATAGGAGGAGGAACATCAAAGTGACAAAATGTCGAGAGGGGGGACAGAAAAATGATTCACAGATGTAAAAGAAATAGACAGACAAAAGGCAGAGTAAAGGTAAGATGAGTACTGCGAAAGGGGTCGACTATGACATACAGTGGGGTCATGGTAGTTTGAAGTGAGAAGTCAACTGCCGGTTAATAGACCTTTTTGCCGCATGAGTATACGTTGCCCAGGGTGCACCACGTGAAGGTAAGTCTATCGCACACCCCTTTATGGCATAAATAAATATTTACTTTTTTTACCAATAAATCACTACATAATCCCACCAATTTTTATTGCATTTAGGAGAGTGGGGGGGGGGGCAATTTGAATTAATAACTTTATAGAAACAAAACAGTGGCCATTAATGGTGGCAACAAATGATGAACCCGTGATTTTTAACTTGTTTGAAATATTTTATCACAGTAATTTTCTTTATACTCCAATTCACAGTGTCCAATTAGAAATCAATTTCTTGTGAACTCCATGCCTTCGAAGGTGCTATTCATTATTCACTCACATTCTCCCCCGTCCAAACGTCAGATAAATCGGTGTTTTTGTCTTTGAAATGAACAATTACATTACAAATAGTCTTAGAATATGAAACCGACAGAACAAATGTCTTCAATTTGTCCTGTAACCGAATTCGAGAATTTGATGTGGGTCAGAATTCATTTGAATAATATTAAAAATTTGTCCTATTCAAGTATTTTTGGGCCGTTATTGCTCTGCACTTGATCACTTGGTTCGCATCTTCGAGAGACACTTGAAACGGTCAATAAAAAAATCAATAAATGGTGTCAGGGCGGTCAGTAAAGTGAAAGTTTCTCGTTACAAACAATGCCAACCAAAATTGGTCACTCCTTTCAGACTGTTCCAATGTTTGAGGAAGCAAATTATCTTGCAACTTAGAATCATCACATTTCAGGGGTGTGAATGCTAAAACACAATCTCAGGTATTCGTGTATGTAACGATACCTTAATGCATAGAAAATCCAATACAATCTGACTTGAATAAATGTTCATGACGGCAATTTTTTCAATTTTTCACCAATTTCTCAAGTATATCTTCGGGACAGATGTACTTAAATTATTACTATTTTAAGTTTATACACTTCGAGAGATATTCTCTAACGAGAATGGCTCCTTCAAATTATGCCCAATTTTGAATATAATTTGGAAAGGGCCCATAAAAATAGAGCCTTTTAATCGCTATTTTCTAGCGATGCTGATATTTTCTAATCAACCGTTGCCCAGCCAATGATGTGACGCAATGGGGTCGATATCCATTGGTGCATTCTGTCGAAAGTGGAATATTCGTATACTCGGTCCGGTTCCAGTAAAGAAGAGATGTGGCAGATTGCGAATGTCTCTTGAAACTCACATCAAGATACTGATCTAGTGTTCAAAACACTACTCTCAGGAAATTTTTGACAAGTGAATGAACAATAACAATTCGTATTTATTGGCACTCAATTAAATTATGTTATTCGTTAACTTTTATGGCCTAATCAACACCAACTATGAATTGAGAAAACTATCTGGTTAACTTCAACTTTCATTGGTATTTAATTAACATTATAGAAAGTAATCAAAGGCCACAGTATAGAACCCAGCGACTCTGTAGCGGATCGCTACCTTAGTAAAGCCTGACTGACTCAGAAATCTCTATGCCCTAAGTAAAGCCTGACTGACTTAGAAATCTCTATGGCAGATTCTCTTAGCTAGACTCCCAGAACCAGCTAAGTTATAGCCCATCTATGAAAGGAAACAGACGTGTAGAACGGAGCACGTTTATTCAGGATTGCGGATCAAGTAGTGTGCACGCAGGGAGTTACTCATGATCGGGATGGGGGATTAGGTTAAACAGAGGTTAATGATTGGTCCTGCTTGTACGATCGCTGCACACAGAGTTCTAGTGATTGGCCACTGTTTGTACGGTCGCTGCACACAGAGTTGGCCGTACCTCCCAATCCTGGCAGCAGACATGCAGGCATACGATGCACTGTACGGTCGCTGCACACAGAGTTGTACGGCCGCACCTCTTTTTGTTTGTACGATCGCTGCACACAGAGTTATACGGCGCACCTCCCAATCCTGGCGAACTGCACACAAAGTTGTACGGCCGCACCTCCCAATCCTGGCCTAGTGATTGGCCACTGTTTGTACGGTCGCTGCACACAGAGTTGTGGTCGCTGCACACAGAGTTGTACGGCCGCACCTCCCAATCGTACGGTCCCTGCACACAGAGTTGTACGGCCGCACCTCCCAATCCTGGCACATACGATGACGAACAACGCGATAACGTGTCCCACAACTCTCGTACTTCATTGAACAAACTTATAATTGTAAATTAGACTGTGCAAATTATACAGCAAAAAGGTCAGTAAGTCAGACAGTTAGTCAAAATGTTTAATAATTTTAATATTTAATAATTTTGCGCCTTTACAACTAAGATAAACTCATTTTATAAACTCATAATTCCACAAGGAATGACAGACCATCAACAAAATGTGGGAGGATTAAAAATGATATTAGCTTTAGGGTTTATTAATCAAATGGAATCACACTTTCTTAGTTCATACATTAGCAGATGTGTGATAGATCAATTTGACCAACTCCATCACTCGGAACTTTAGATGCAATCAAATTGAATTTCATTGCGTTGTAATCTGCTGCAGCAACAACACTCTTATTTTATTTTCTGCAAGAGTGACGAAATTAATATGACCTTTCCTTGTACCAGAATACAATAGGAAGAAAGTTGTGCTAACGTTGATCTTACTTCGCGCATTGGTTGTAATCAAGAGGCCAAATTAAGATATCCTTAAATGAGGGTTGGGGGATGAAGAGAGTAAGAGAGTCTCGATGCGATCTTGTTCCTTATAGTAAATAGCCAAGTAAGACCATCAACCAACAATTTGGCCGGTGCAACTAAATAGTCTAACCAATAGACTCGATAGAATGCGTTAAATTTCGCTATAGATTATTATGCCCAGGTCCACGTTTTCTGTGATGGAGTGTGCGATAGACTTACCTCCACG